TATGCCATCAGATAGCCCATTGTCCTTAGCCGTTATCCGTTTCATCCACGTGACGGTTTTCATTTCCCTTCCGGAATATCTCCCGGGATTCCAGAGGGTAGCACGGCCGGATTATATCATATCTCCACAAGCAATTGCTCGGAATCCCTGGAATCTCCGGGGCTAACGGCGAAATCTTGATTATGAATCCCATTTCTTCCCGATTTGGAACCGGCGAACAATTACGCATATGCACCTCGGCTCTTAGGGACTTTTTTCGCGTCCGATTCCATCGAATGTAAAATGGAGCGGACGCAAATGGAACAAGTTGAGAAGGTCTTTTTAGTGTTACTGACTGGATCGTATTAACGCGATTACACCATCTACGGACTTAGCTCAACTTTACTTCAGTACTTCAACTGATTTATAAAAAAGAAAATATTACAAAATAAAGTTTGAAATCTGACATACAAATTATATAGTTCCAGACTTAAATAACCTTACTTTTTAGGTAATTCACCTCGAAAATCTAACAACGCTTGCGCAAGGCGTACCCAATAGAAGAGAACTGCGTGCGCGCTTGCGACTCGATCATTTAGCGCAGCTGTACAAAATGAAGAATTACTTTTAAAATGGAAACTATTCATATTGAGGAGACAAAGACATTATAAACTCTGAGAAATATATGAATTTGAGATGTTTGACGATCACACGATTGACTCGTAAATAACCATACCGCCTGTACATAAAGCGATATAAAGTGTTGGTGCCGGAGTGCCACATGCCCGTATTTTATTATTTGTATTTATTAGAATAAACTGATCAAATGGCCTAGGTGCCCGGTTCATATGAAGGATTTCCCTTGTTCAGTCATATAGATAGATTAGTATAAGTATAAGTTGAAGACAATCTCCTTGCTCTATAAATGTCGACCACAAATTTTTTTAATGACATTTACTAATAAATTTAGAGGGAAAGAAAGATACATAGATAAATAGGTAGATAGATAGATTGATTTATAGATAGATTGACAGAGAGGGGGGAGAAAGAGATAGAGAGGGGGGAGTGAATGAATGCATGCATTAGTGACAAAAACAAAGAGTGAATGAATGAATGACTAGGTGAGTGAAAGAGAAAGGGAGAGATTCAGCGAGACTGAGATAGAGGTAGATATATAGATAGATGGATAGAGAACCAGAGAGAGAGAGAGAGAGAGAGAGATAGAGAGAACGAGTGAATGAATGAATGACGGGGGTGAGAGCATGAATTACTGAACAAAACGGAAAAGCAGACGGTAAACGAGATAGAGTAATAGAATATAGGTAGATAGATAAATAAATATAGAGATAGATAGATAGGTAGAAAGAGAGAGAGTGTGAGAGAGAGAAAGAATGAGAGTGGGAGGGAGGGAGCGAGTGAATGAATGCATGCATTAGTGACAGAAACAAAGAGTGAATGAATGACTGGGTGAGTGTATGAATTAGTGAGTGAAAGAGAAAGGGAGAGATTTAGCGAGACTGAGATTGAGGTAGATATATAGATAGATGGATAGAGAACCAAAGAGAGATTGAGAGAGAGAGAGGGAGAGAGAGAGAGAGAGAGAGAGAGAGAGAGAGAGAGAGAGAGAGAACGAGTGAGATTCAGCGAGACTGAGATAGAGGTAGATATATGGACAGATTCAGCGAGACTGAGATAGAGGTAGATATATGGACAGATGGATAGAGAACAGAGAGAGAGAGAGAGAGAGAGAGAGAGAGAGAGAGAGAGAGAGAGAGAGAGAGAGAACGAGTGAATGAATGAATGACGGGGTGAGTGAAAGAGAAAGGGAGAGATTCAGCGAGACTGAGATAGAGGTAGATATATGGACAGATGGATAGAGAACCAGAGAGAGAGAGAGGGGGGAGAGAGAGAGTAAGAGAGAGAGAATTAATGAATTAGTGAGAGAAAAAAAGGAGGAATGTTTGAGTAACAGGGTGAGTGAATGAGTCAGGTTGACAGAAAGAGGAGAGAAAGAAAGGGAGAGTGTGTCAGGGTGAATTAAATGAGAGAGAGATGGAGAGAGAATGAGAGACAAGAGAGAGGGCGAGCAATTGAGAGAGTTCACTTCCTCGTTCTGTCATCAAGGTAGAAAGTTCATTTCCAAAATTGGTACAAATCACCCCAGAAAATTTGAATTATGCTATTGTGACAAACTTTATGACTCTTTATGTCAGTTCAGTAAAATTAATTATAGATTGTCCATGTTACTGCGTACACTATGCATGTGATCGACTAGCAACATGCTGTTTGAAAAAAAAATTATATACATATTAATCGTTCCAGTTGAAAACTAACATATGCAGTAAGTGGGATTAAGATTAATTATTGGATCAACCGACATCATTCAAGATAAACTGGGATGTCAGATATTATTTATCGGTAAAACGAGGCCATAATTATAGAGCTGTTATGTTCAACCCAGTTTCTTCCATTTAAAATATCCGAGATATCTCGAAATGTCAAGATGTTGGACAGAATATTGAGGCCGTTAATCACTCACAAAATGGGACATAACACAGCCACATAAAAACTAAAATCATCTTTTGATCGTACAATATTTCACAGGGGGGATACTATTTGGGAAATTTAAAAGCCGCTCGACCTTGCCCGATTTTGTTAGTGTTAATTATAAAAAGGAACAATGGCTGGCGCTTGCCACTTAAATGAGTCCTTCCTAAGAGAACATCGCCAGAGGGGAAAATCGATGACATTTAAATGTGGGCTAATTAAAATACTAAACAATGGAGCCAGAGTCAAAAGTCTCGGCCGTACTGTTGAAAAGGATCATCTGCGTAAGGTAGAAGTGGTGAAAGGTCAGGACCGGAATGAGGCAGAACGCATATATTCACTGATTGATACTGAAGACCAGTTCTACTTAACAATCCATCCTTGTTTGCACAATCGTTCTGGCTCTTTCTCACAAAAGCGAGACATATACTTATTTTAAAAAACATGAAAATTATTACGTTTAGATGTAGCATATTAGTAGCGGTAGCCGTAAAATATTGTAAATTGCGTGTACACTGTAAACGTCGTGGTTTATTTAAACTGCACCTTGTAAGAGATATTTTAGAGCTTTTGTACCTTTTATATATTTTATAGTGTGCTTTTCTTTGCCTCAGAGCTATTTATTATACGGTCTTGTTAAATATCCCGAACATTCTACCGCGGAGGAGTGTCGGTTGCATCGTGGTCTCCTTGTGCCTGCGCGTCTCAATTTCAGCGGTCAGAAAATGGTAAGAGGTAAGAAATACGTCCTAACGTTCAAGGCGTGCATCCATGACGAGAGATCGTAAGAAATGATTAATCGTTACACTGCATGTTTAAAATAGATGCAAAGGAAAAATTGAGAAAACACCGAGATCTGCGATTTGATGAACTAGTTAGGTCATTTTCGATTTTTTTTGATCTGTCAGACGCGTATCATCATTTCACCGTTTTCAGAGGGAACGCGTTTGCACAATCTAAGCGGATCTATTTTTCGACCCTCTCACCTGGGCTGTATGTTTCTTTGGTAGTACTTAAAATCTGACTTAATTAAAGAAGTAATTCACAACTACAGAGGGATGTTAGTTTTTCTCTTTGATGATGTCCAGTGAACAGAGCGTGAAAGCGTGTAGTTATTAGAAGCGGCACATCCCCCTTCCATTTGATAGGGAGATAATGCGATCCGGCGAGGCTAATCTATCAGGGCGGTCATCACTCATGGAGTGCCAGTACTCGGCCCTGTCCTCATTCATCACATGGCCTCATCCCCATTCATGCTCTCTCAACAACCCGTCATTACACTGCCGAACCGCTCGCTCTTACCCCGAGACAAATCTCGTTTAATTGCTCGACTCCGGTGAAACCGAGGCGGATCTCTTTTTCGAAAAACCCGACTGCGTAACGGTAGATCACGTTATTAACAAGTCCGAAACTGGGCTCGTCCACTCCCAACTCGAAAAACTCGTTCTGCCCGCTCCGGTAGACGAAACAGGAAATATTTCAATAATTTTATTTTGATCCCCAATGTTTCTGTCGACTCGGCTCCCGATAAAACGTTTATTTGTCTGAACAGTACTTTCACTGCATTCAGTCAAAAATGTTTGTACTTTTTTATTTATTTTCCCGCGTTAATCAATCCCCAGAAAGCTCTTTACTTTCTTTCATTTCACCTTGACTATGCAATTAAATGAAGTTCCCACACAAGTTGCTCCCAAGATGCGTTTCATTTATATATATGCAAGAAAAAAAAAACACAACCAGCATGCGTGTTTTAAAAAATTCAATGCGCCAAGAGAATGTAATCTTGTGTGAAACCTCAGATCCTATATCGTCAAAAAGTAGTATTTTGTACAAAAAGAGTCTGGACATTATTAAATAATTGTTTCGAATTATCATACTTGAGTCTACTTTACTCAAAATATGTCAATTAATGCTGTTTACTTGCTGAAAATTGAAAATGTCTCTATTGTGCGAAGAAAAAACAAACAATTACAATTAAGATACCTACGTTAGATAATCAAGCCAGAATTGTTAATTTTATATACCTCTCACCATAGAATGGTAATAAACCCAACATAATAAACTCATTAAGCTATACTCTAGATTTAGTGTCTAATCGCAAAGTCAATTTTAAGAAGTTAATTAGTTTGATTAAATTGCAATTATATTATTGAGATATCCATTGAATCGTATTATCTTCCGGCAATATATCAATTCTTCAACCATATACGAAGAAGTATATAGAGATTAACGAGTTAATCCCGCTACTCGTCCGACTACGCATGAAACTCACAGCGCTCACATCGGG